CAGCCTAATTAGTATTCCATTTCTTTTCTCCTCACTAGGTTTTCTGAATTCCCTTTTTCTCTGAAGGGTACCTAAGCCCCAAATGAAAATATCTGTCATTTAAAGTTTTTCTTTATTCATGTACTTTACAACTTACATGCCCAAACAAATAAGCATAACAAAACAGCTAGAACAAATACATCCTAGTCTAATGAAGTTGTAACAAATCAGTGTCAATTATTTTTATCATTCATGTTCCATCCCATCTCCTTTGACTGTTAGGGCCTGGATGCAAGATTGATTGGATACATTCATGCACTCACCATGGTGACTTTCACATACATAGGATCTCAACATTTTTTTTATTAATCATTAATAAATACTGAAATGATACCAAAACAATGAAGAGGACATGTTACCATTCTCTGAGCTGATTGACTTTGGATGCCATCTATATTCTAATGGATTAAGATAAGACATTTAAGTACTCTTGTTGATGAAATGTGTATGGCACATATTTCATGTGAGCATGTTACATCCTGGTAACTTTTTTCAGGTTGTTCAGGGGAGAAATGCCTCAGAAGGATATATGAGACTCTATAGTTAAAACGGGAGCTCTGGTAGCATAGTGGCTAAGACACTTGCCTGCTAACCAGAAGGCTGGCGGTTCAAACCCACCAGCCACTGCTCCGAAGGAAGGTTGGGCAATCTACTTCCGTAGTGGTAACGCCTCAGAAATCCAAGGAAGGGGGGTCGCTATGATTTGGATTCGACTCAACGGCAGTGAGTTTGGTTTTCTTTTTTTTTTGTTGTTTTTGGTTTAGGGTCAACACTCATAGGGAGTTCACTAAGCAGCCCCAGAATCTATTGAGAGCACAACCCATCCACCACAACTTTCAGTTATGCTGCTGCTGTTTCTTCTTCTTTTGTCCTACAACATTTCTTTCTACTTAACATCTACAGCTAGGATTACCATCATCACTTCTTTTCTCTCCTCATTTTATACGTTCTAACAGTCACTGTGTTGATTTGCAATTCCATTTTATGTTATTCCATCTCCACAATTAAATTACAAGTCTCTTAAAAGTAAGGATATAGCTCCTATTATTAATGAAAGTTCACTGTCTCCTACCTCCCCTACCCAAACATATGAATAGTATAATACCCTTCAAAGTAGACAGAATTTCTTAGCTATGAAGACATCAGCACCAGATTTTCAATCTAGACTACCTGGATTTTAAAAATACAAAGAAATTTAAGGAAAATATATTTCAATTCTTTCATTTTGAAGAAGTGGAACTAAAGCCCAAAAGGTTAAAGAGTTTGCTCTCTCATTTTCAACTAAAGCCAAAATAAGAACTCAGCTCAATATCCTTTCAGTGACATCTCATAGAGTTATTATAAATGTTGTCTGATTCCCTTTCAAGAGGATTTAGTGAGAGACTTTTAGGTCACAAAGGCAGAGAGAATACACTTCATAGAAGATTTTAAAAGCATCATGCAAGGCAGAGGATCTTACACCAGGGTCACTTTCAAATCTTTATTTCACTTTTCCTTAGACCAGATCATATTTAAGAGTCATAGCATAAAGAGTATGGAAGCTGGAAAAATCACAATCTTCTGTGTGAACAGTCTCCTCAGTACTGCTTTTTTTTTTTTCTGCCTTTCTCTATTTAAGAAATACAAAGAGTCACTGTACCAAAATGAATTGGTTGACTTTCAACCATTACAGGAGATAGCATATGATCAAGAACTAATGGTATTGAAGGAGGAAGTCCAAGCTGCACTGAAGTAATTTGCAAAAAACAAGGCCCCAGGAATTGATGGAATATCCATTGAGATGTTTCAACAAATGGATGCAACACAGGAAGCACTGACTCTTTTATGCCAAGAGATTTGGAAGACAGCTACCTGGCCAACTGACTGGAAGAGATCCATATTTGTGCTCACTCCAAAGAAAGTGATACAGCAGAATGTGGAAATTATCAAAAATATCATTAAATCACACACAAGTAAAATATTGCTGAAAATAATTCAAAAATAGTCACAGTACATGGATGAACTTGGAGGACATTATGCTGAATGAAATAAGTCGATCACAGGACAAATATAGCATTAGTTCATTATTGTAAAAAGTCAAGGACAGGTTTGTATATGGAAAGAAACTTTCTTTGTTGGCTGCCCGGGGTGGGAGGGGAGGGAATCCTGCAAAAAAAAAACAAAAAAAAAGAAAGAAAAAATTCAATAAAATGTATTTTTATAAGAATAAAGTCTATTAAAAATTTTTTAAAAAAAGAGTTGCAGTTTTTGTTGTAGTTGTTGTTGTTATTGTTGTTGTTAGGTTTGGCACCTAACAACAAAAAATTTTAAAAAGAAAATGGTTGCAATAGTATACAGGCAGAACTTCCAGAAATTCAAGCCAGATTCATATGAGGGAGCTCTGGTGGCGTAGTGCCTAAGGCATTTCACTGCTAACCAGAAGGCTGGTGGTTCAAACCCACCAGCCACTACTCGGAAGGAAGGTTGAGCAATCTACATCCTGATACCGCCTTGGAAACCCAAGGAGGGGTCACTATGAGTCAGATCCGACTCGCCGGCAGTGTGTTCATTTGAGGATGTGGAATGAGAAATATCATTGTTAATGTCAGATGGATCTTGGCTAAAAGC